TCGAGCCGCTAAAGCTGCCAGTTGAAGAACTGTTGCCCGTGGCCACTCTCGTCGCCTCGCACCGGACGGAGCGGATTAGGCCGGCCAGACAGGTGAGTCGGACGGCGAGGGGGAAGGGAGGGGGCGGCAGCTTCGTCTCTTCCCGGGCCCGGGGGGGGGGGGGAGGTTTTGAAGGGCCTGAGCTGCTTTGGGGAGGGGGGCGCTTCTAATATCCACAACAGTTCTCTGCCCATAGTGACTCCCCCCCCCCTAAAAGCCCTGGGATTTGGCCCTCTTTGTAAAGGACCCCCCCCCGGAGAGAACTGCAGTTGTTGGAGGGCCCTTTCTGAACCCTCCGAAGAACAAGGTGGGCAGGAGGCTCTTGGCACCCTTGTGTGTGTGTGTGGGGGGGGGGTTTCCTGGAAGGGGCAAGGAGTTAGGCTTCCACCCTTCTACTGGGGGTGGGAAAGGATTGTGGGGCTTTGGGCCTGAAGCAGTGGTAGTTGGAGAGGAGCAAGCAGCCCAGCCCCCGGGGACAGGGACTGCAAAGTCTGGGGTCAGCTCTACCCCCAGGCGAGCTCGATGGCAGGCCACAGAGCTCTTGCCTGCACCTGGCTTGAGCAGAGCCGGCCTGGCCTAGCGTTTGGCTAGAGCAGAGCAGGAAGGGCCCAGGCCACTGGGCGGGCCCAGCGGAGGTTTCTCTTGCGTCGCTTCTCCTCGGAGCCCCTCTTGTCCTGGCATCGCCTTTTGGGGTCTGCCAAGGTGAGATACGTGATCTCTCTTGCCTGGGGGAATGTGCATGTTCCTTTGGCGAGTGACGAAATGGAATCTTCCTCCTCGGCCCCTGCCCCCCAGGAGTGCCAGAGTTTGAAGCGGCCTTGGGTGGAGTTGGGCATTACTCATGAGGTGTGGGAGTCCAGCCTGTCTGTTGGTCAAGGGGCTTTGGCGGAGCCGATGCCTGGCACTGAGTCTGGGGTCTTGTGTGGCCAAAAAAAAGTCAGCGCAGAGTTGAATGCACACCCTCTAGCTTCCTCCCCTTCAAGAAGGTTTTTGGCTGAGAGGTGGGGGCGAAAAGTCTGGGCGCCGCAAAGGGCAATGCGTGTGTCAGGGCTTTTGCCTGCTACTCTCTTTCGTGCCTTCTGTTGAGGGCACAGACGGTTGCCCGGCCATGGACCTGCAGGTATCTCATGGACGATGCCGGGTGTGCTGCGCCCCAGGGCGAAGGCCTCTTTCCTTGCTGGGCGTCAGTGTCGGATCCAGCGCGCTTGGTCGCCGATCACCTCACCGTTACGCAGCACAAGGACTTCGGAGACCAACTCCAGAATGCGTCTGGGGCGGAATTTGTGGAAGTCCGGATCTGGCCTGAAGCTGGCTCGCCCACTGCGGCTGGACCGAGGTTCTGCTCTTGCCTGTTCCTACCAGTGGGAAATGGTTGTGCCGTGTGGGTGTCTGTTTTGGGGGGGGCCTTGCATGGAAACGGGACAGACCTGCCAGGCTGCTGGCATTTCACAGTCCTTTGACGCACCCCCACCCCGACTTGGCAACAGCCTTTTCCAAGACCTGTGCCCATCGGAAGGTTGTCTTTCGTGCCTCTGACGAAGGGTAACCCTGTCTTTCCTGTGCTGTCACAATAAACATGCTTATCTTTAAGACTCTCTTGATTTTTGCAGTGACTTGAAATGGCAGTCTGTCTGGACTTCCTGCAGGGGGTGGATTCTCTGCGTGGCATGTGGATCACAGGAGCCTCTTCACTGTAACGGGGGGGGGGAGAAAGGGGGAAAGATCCTCTGCTCCCCCCACTGGTGTAATGCAGCTGGCTCTGGAGTGGTGTTTCAGCCCTGCCTGAAGTATGTGTTGCTGGGTTCCAACCTCTCTGCAGCTATCATGTGCCCATGAGGAAGTATGGAGTGGTGCCAGGCGGGCCTGCCTGTCCAGTTAGCCAGGAGGGCCTTGCACTGCCCTATGGGGGAGAGGAGCTGCCTTCCTATCTGCCTTGCCCAAGCCCATCTCTTCCAACTCAGGTCTCCCCCTTCCTGTACAGTGCACAAGGTACATATACCTATAGGAGGGACTAGAGCTCCCTCTGCTGACTAACTGGAGTATTGCTGTTTTCTGGCTCTCTCCACCAAGCAGGGAAGTTTTATATACCGAAAGGTGAGATTTCCCTGGCTTTATTTATTTGGAACATTGATATGCTGCCTTTCCACCCAAATACGGACCCTGAGGAGGCAAAGTGGAGATTTGCATTCTGTTAATTATTAGAATGTTCACAGCGGATGCTGTGGTATTTGGGGGTGGGGGAGACTCCTAAACCAACTCGGTTTGCCAAAGGATCTGAATGTGGCCTTTTAGCATTTGGGTGTTGCCTTTAGCCTATCAACAAGAAAGCTGTGTTTTTAGAAAGTTCCATGGTGCCTAGGAAATTTAAACCCTTCCTTCCAGCTTCCAAACGAGCTCATATGGAGAAGTTGTGGAGCCTCTGGTTGGGCTGACCGGGCCCAAAGGCAGGGTGTGGTAAAACTCTGGAAAATATTGGTGGGAGGGGGATAGGATCTGTGACTGAGGCAAGAATAGTAAAGGAGGACTGTGTGAGGAACCTTACGGGCCAAGGGTGGTGGGGATCCTTAGAGAGGGAAATGAGGCACCAGTGCTAATTCTAGAGGTCTCTGAGTGACGAGAGGGTAGTTGGAGTGTTTGTCATTTAGTTCTAATGTGGCTGTCATGGACCCTGATCTGGATAGCCCAGGCTAGCCTCATCCCTAGTTAGTATTTGGATGGGAGATCATCAGGGCAGTCCAGGGTCACTATGTAGAGGCAGGCAATGGCAATCTACCAATCTGCCTTGAAAACCCTACGGGGTAATTGGTTGTGACCTGATGGCACTTTCCGCCACCAGAGATAGTCGACTTTTGATAGTTCGGTTTAGTAGTTAGGAGCGCGGACTCTAATCTGGGAGAAACGGGCTCGATCCCCCACTCCTCCACATGCAGCTGCTGGGTGACCATGGGCAAGCCACAGTTCTCTCAGAGCTGTTCTCTCAAGAGCCGTTTGTGTCAGAGTTCTCTCGGCCCCACCTACCTCACAGGGTGTCTGTTGTGGGGAGGGGAAGGGAAAGGAGATTGTGAGCGGCTCTGCGACTCCGAGGGAGATCTGGAGATGGAAATAAGGGAGGTGGTTGAAGCAGGAAATGTTGCAATACTGTGTGACTTCAGCAACCTTTGCATCGACAGGGTAAACGTGGGCTCAAGGCATGCTGGAGAAACAGGGTCCCTGCACAGACTGTGCCTGGGAACAGTGCCTCACACAGCTGACTAGGAGGCGTAGCAACTCTGAACTTGGTGCTGACGGAGGCTCAAGACCCAGCATGAGATGTAGATGTCGTTGCACTGATTGGGAATGATGCAAATGGAGTTCGTCACTCATGTCAATGGCAAGTTGTCCCTGAAGTACCAAACAATCACTTTTGATTTCAGAAGAAGGGACTTAACTGAAACGAGGCAGGAAGTTAACAGGGAGAATTAAAACTGTCAAATCCCTCCAGTCTGCCTGGAAACTACCAAAGCCCAGAGAGATAGAAAAGGTACCACCAACTCTAAAAGGATGCCGGTGTAGTACCCCTGAGTTCTAGTGTTATGTGTGTGTGGGGGGGGATGTCCACTTTCTTTACTCAGTACATAATTTTATAAACCTCTTCTCATTTCTCCCCTTAGTGTTTTTTTCCATAGACTCTCCCAGTCTGTCCTCATAGGAAAGGTGCTCCACCCCCTTAATCAGTTTGGTTGCCCTCTTCTGTACTTGTTCCAGCTCCGCAATATCCTTTTATGAGGGAGGCAACGCAGACCATTGCTGGATATTTCACATGAGGGCCACACAGTAGTTCTGCATAAACTTTGGACTTCGCTACCAGTAAATGTACTGATGGCCAGTAGCACAGATGACATCGAAAGGGGGTGAAAGAGACCCACGGGTCAGTGGTGGCTACTCATCACGGTGATTAAGAAGAGAGAAGAGATTGGATTTATACCCCGCCCTTCACTACCCGAAGGAGTCTCAGAACGGCTTACAAACTCCTTTCCCTTTCCCTCCCCACAACAGACACCCTGTGAGGGTAGGTGGGGCTGAGAGAGCTCTGACAGAAACTGCTCTTTTTCAAGAACAGCCCTGCCAGAACTATGGCTTGCCCAAGGTCATCCAGCAGGTGCAAGTGGAGGAGTGGGGAATCAAACCCGGTTCTCCCAGATTAGAGTCCGCGCACTTAACCACTACAAGAAGAAGAAGAGGAGATTGGATTTATACCCCGCCCTTCACTACCCAAAGGTGTCTCAGAGTGGCTTATAAACTCCTTTCCCCTCCCCTCCCCACAACAGACACCCTGTGAGGTAGGTGGGGCTGAGAGAGCTCTGACAGAAACTGCTCTTTTTCAAGAACAGCCCTGCCAGAACTATGGCTTGCCCAAGGTCATCCAGTCTGGTGCAAGTGGAGCAGTGGGGAATCAAACCCGGTTCTCCCAGATTAGAGTCTGCGCACTTAACCGCTACACTAAACTGGCTCTTAAAGAGAATTTTCATATTTGGACATAGTGAGTCTCTGAAGACCAGTACTAGGAGGGTAACATCAGGGGAAGGCCTTGGCCTCTTGACCTATAAGGCAACACTTATGACACATGAATCTAGTACTGAATCAGACCTATGTTCCATAATGATCATTACTGTCTACACCGGCGGTAGCTTTCTAGGTCTTTCACATCAGCTACTCCCTGATCCTTTTGACGGGGGATTGAACCTGGGACCTTCTGCATGCCATACAGAGGCTCTTCCACTGAGCCACGGCCTCTCAGTTATGTAAAACAGGATGATAAGGCTGGATGGACTGCTGATGGGTTCCAGCAGGGCCCTTCCAATGATGTTTTTTTGAGTCAGATCCTCTCAATGGCGCTGCTGCCTAACCTGAGATCTGTACTGCAGGAATTCCTCCTCTCCAATTCCTACTTCCACAAAAAGACAGCCAAGTCCCAGCTGGATTTAATATTTTATTGCAGCTTGGCAGGCACTGTGACCAGCTCCTGTGGATCCTACCCACGGGTCAGTCAGTTCCATCATCCTGAAAAAGAGACAACCAGTTGGGCTCAGGTAGAGGCAGCCACACGGGGAATGTGCTCTGCCGATGCTCCTAAGCACGAGCATTTGCGCACCGGGGGGGGGGGGGGGGGGTTGTACATGCAGTCGAATCCCTTACTCCGCTTCGTGCTTGGTGATCCTTCTTCCTGAGTAGAGGACTTCAGCCACCATGGCCACCACAGGGTCAAAATCCAGGCTGGCGACTGCAGTCACAAAGTTGTCTCTGTGGAAGGAGGAGGTCCCAGTGAGAGACCCCCGGCTTGGGGGGGATCCTGTCTTCCCTTGTCACTGCCACAGGAAATGGTGGCAGCTAAAAGCACAGACAGCTTCAAGAGGGGATTGGATAAACATATGGAGCAGAGGTCCATCAGTGGCTATGAGCCACAAGGTATAGTGGAACACTTGTCTACGGCAGGGATGCTCTGTATCCTTGGGGCTTACAGGGCAACAGTGGGGGGGCTTCTGGAGTTCTGGCCCCACTGGTGGACCTCCTGATAGCACCTGGGTTTGGGCCACTCACTGAGTGACAGTGTTGGACTGGATGGGCCATTGGCTGATCCAACATGGCTTCTCTTATGTCTGGGGGAAGTGATGGTCCGTATTCTTGGTGCTTGCGGGGGGTAACAGTGGGAGGGCTTCTGGCCCCACTGGTTGACCTGATGGCACCTGGGTTTTGGCCAATGTGTGACACAGAATGTTGGACGGGGTGGGCCACCGGCTTGATCCAACGTGGCTTCTCTTATGTTGATACGTCTCGGCCTCCTACTCCGTCTCTGCTCTCTCCCGCTATCCAGAGAGTGGCCCGGCTGGCAGCCACTCGGCTCTCCCTACCCATCCATCCCCCTTCAGTGACATTCTGTCCTCACCTAATGTAGAAGAGGACAAACTTCTCTTCGTCCAAGTTGCCCTTCACCACTGTGTCCGTGTAGCCTTTCCCGTAGCCTAAGTGACAAAGGAAGGCAGCAAGATCTGATCCGAGTTGGAGGCTGGGAACCAGCTTGGCCAGTGGGGCTGGCGGAGCATGACAAGGCAAGGAACGGAGGAGGAGCCCTTTGCCTCTGCTCCCGTTGGGCTCCCGCTGGACCAAGGCGAAAATGGGATGCAGGGGTACCAGGCAAGGAGCAGCAGTTTAGCGGCCCACCTAGGGGGGGAGCTGTGTCTTGTGACCTACAGCAGCAAGCGGGTCCCTGCCCAGCCGTGCAAAGGGACCGGGGTCCCCCTTGGACCATAGCTCCGCTTTCTCACCAGAGGCTGCTACTTCCTGGATCTCAACCCCCCCATCTCTCCCTGGGGATGCCAGCCTCCTGGTGGGACCTGGGGACCCCCTGGAATTACAGCTCATCTCCAGCCTACAGAGATCAGCTCCCCTAGAGAAAAGGGATCCTTGTAGGGTGGACTCTATGGCCTTGTGCCCCAGTGAGGTCCGTGTCCTCCTCAGGCTCCGCCCCCTGAATCTCTTGGAGTTCCCCAGCCTGGCAAGCCTACCTGCCCCCCCCCCCCCCATGCCATCTTTATTTCCTGCATATCGGATGACTTTCCCGAGCAACTTGGTCCAGAAGAAAGGCACCGTGTAAAGCTTCTCCTGCCTCTGCAAGATGTTGAGGGCAGCCACACGCCCTGGAAAGGGGAAGGAGGAGAGGCCAAGGAGGGAGCGTTCATGGGGGAGGCGAGGCTTTGGCTGGGCCTTGGGTTCTATAGACTGGCCTGGGGAGGACCTGTGATGCAGCTGACGGCCTGGGCTAAACGTTGTGTATGTGTTTGAGATTTGAGAAATCTAGCTCCCCCCACCCCACCCCACCGAGCAGGAGTTCCAGAACGTTTAGAGGCTGTGTCCACCTCTACACTTCAGCCACTGCTGGCTGGGGCACAGGGGAGACATGGCGGGGTGGCACCAGGCCTGAAGGAAAAGTGTCTTGGCCACAACCGCTGCCAGTTGGAACGAGTGGGTGGGTGGAGCAGGGAATGTGCCGCTGCCGCCCTCCCTCTCTCCAGCGCCTAATGCTGCAGGGAGGGGACCCAGGGCCCGCTCTCCAGACGCAGGAGTTTGAGCCCCACGGCCTACCTTTGGATCACAGTCGCAAGCATGGGTTTTTTTGTAGGAAAAAGCCCAGCAGGAACTCATTAGCATAATAGGCCACACCCAACAGCAGAAACCATTAGCATAATAGGCCATACCCAACAGCAGAAACCATTAGCATATTAGGCCACACCCCTGACATCACAGCTCATTAGCATATTAGGCCACACCCCATGTTACCAGAAGTGTGGTCATCCAGCCACACCCACCTTTTGCTTCTTATTCTGTTTACTTTGTTGTCAAAACCCTGGGCTTTTTTTGTAGCAGGAACTCCTTTGCATGTTAGGCCACACACCCCTAATGTAGCCAATCCTAATGAGTTCCTGCTGTTGGGGGTGGCCTATTATGCTAATGAGTCCCTGCTGGGCGTGGCCAACTCAGGAGCCAGCCGGAACTCCGTTCCTGTGCGTTCCTGCCCAAAAATAGCCCTGGTCGCAAGCCCCCTTTTGGCTTGCAGTCTGCTAGAGAGCAAAGCGCTGTTTCATGCATTTGTTCACTCCGTTTGGACCCCATCTTTCCCAAGGGTTCACGGTGACTCAAGGGAGTTCTGCTTCACGGTGAATACACGGAGCTGCCTTGTACTGAATCAGACCCTTGGTCCATCGAGGTCAGTAAGTATCGTCTACTCAGACTGGCAGCTGCTCTCTAAGGTCTCTCGCACAGGTCTTTCACATCCCCTACTGCCTGGTTCTTTTTAATCAGCGATGCCAGGGATTGAACCTGGGACCTTCTGCATGCCAAGCAGGTGCTCCACCACTGAGCCACGACCCCTTCCCCCGCTGGCTGTGTTCAAGTCCAAGCATGGTGCCATGTCCCAGCCCAAGAGGCCGGTCTACGTACCTTTGTAATTGCAAAGTCTCAACTGGCTTATAGCGACTCCAGCAAGCGGTTTGCAAGGCAAGCGAGTTGCAGAGGTTTGCTCCTGCCTTCCTCTGCTGAGTCTTCCCTGGTGGCCCCCCCATCCCTGTCACCACCCTGCTGAGCTTTCAAGATCTCATGAAATTGGGCCACAGAGTTCACCGTCCCTCCCAAGGCCAGTCTCGGGCACCCAAAATTCTCCAGCAAGAGCGGCTGCAGCTTAAAGAAGCGATGGCACTGGTGAGCATCCAGTAGGACCCCACTGGCCTGCCAGGGGAGACCTCAGGAGCTAGAGGGACAACTGCTCCCATCCTCCCTGAGCAGTCGGGTTAGAACAGATAAAAGGAAGGACTTCTTCACCCAAAGAGTGATTCATACATGGAATTCACTGCCACAGGAGGTGGTGGCGGTGGCTACAAGCATGGACGGCTTCGAGGGGGAATTGGATAAACATCTGGAGCAGAGGTCCATCAGTGGCCATTAGCCACAAGGTATAGATAGGAATTCTCGATCTGGGGCAAGGGATTCTCTGTATTCTTGGTGCCGGGGGGGGGGGGGAAGCAGTGGGAAGGCTTCTGGTGTCCTGGCCCCACTGCTGGACCTCCTGATGGCACCTGGTATTTTTGGTCACTGTGTGACACAGAGTGTTGGACTGGATGGGCCATTGGCCTGATCCAACTTTGAAGAAGAAGAAGAGATTGGATTTATACCCCGCCCTTCACTACCCAAAGGTGTCTCAGAGTGGCTTACAAACTCCTTTCCCTTCCCCTCCCCACAACAGACACCCTGTGAGGTATGTGGGGCTGAGAGAGCTTTGACACAAACTGCTCTTTTTCAAGAACAGCTGTGCCAGAGTTATGGCTTGCCCAAGGTCATCCAACCAGGTGCAAGTGGAGGAGTGGGGAATCAAACCCGGTTCTCCCAGATTAGAGCCAAACTGGCTCTCAACCAACATTGGCATCTCTTATGTTCTCATGTCTGCCCCCGCCGCCTGCCAGCAGGGAATCCAGCTTCCCTTTTCCCCTTCCACCTCCAGCCTTTGGAGGTGTCACCAGACAGCTAACTCCTGTGTTTCCCAGTTCACTTTCACGGCGATGAGGACTAGCAACTTGCCCCTTCCAGCCACCTCCCCCTCAGGCAAGTTCTTAACCCATAAGAGAGAGGTTTGCTACCGTGGGCTTGGGCAATCTGCCAGTGGTAGATGTGGGTGTTCTTCCAGTTGAACAGGGCCACGGGAAAGGAGACTGCGTCCCCAGCAGCAAAGACATCGGGGACATTTGTCTTCATGAACTGGAGGGGAAAGAAGAGCCTGGTTACGGAAAGGGCTCGGGGGCCGGGCTCTGTGGTGCAGGCCAAGCCCCCCCACCCCAAGAGCCTCAACCTACCAGGTCCACAAGAATGGTGCCGTTCTGTTCCAGGGCGACGGAGCTGCCCTGAAGAAAGCGCGTGTTGGGAGCAACCCCTGCGGGGAAGGAGAAGATGGACATAGAGGAGCCGGGCCTGGCGGGGAGGCGGGCATTTCCCTTGCTGCCGTGTGAGCCAGCAGCTGGCCTTATGAAGGGCCATTTGGAAGAGGGAGGGGGAGGTCGAGAGCCAGGCCTGGCAAAGCAGAGAGACTGCCTTGGAAAGGTGGCAGACAGGAACAGACATGGCTAGCTTGTCAAGGGAGTGACATTTGCATTTTGCTGCAGGCTCCCCCCCCCCGCATGCACCAAGCCTCCATTCACTGTTCACTTGTCCTAACTGCCCTTCCTTCCTGCCCCTCTTTTCCTTCTAGGGTGCCAGAGGGGCACCGTTGGCCCAAGGATGCCCTTGGGAGCTGTGAACAGTGGGAAGAGGTGGAGCAACAGGCAGCTCCTGGGCAGGGCGAGCCTCTGGGGAGGCAGCGACTCTCGGTCAGGCTGAAGTACTCGGCACTGTGCAATAGGTCCTGCTCCTGCTCCTCCTCCCAGGAGACTCCAAGCCTCTCTAGGGACTTGCTTTCCTGTAGCTCCTGCTTGCGTCAATGGCCCCTCCTTGTGGTCAGAGTGCAGAATGCGAGTGAGAATATATTCTCGCGCATCTGTGCCAGCTGAAGCAGCATGCATGCACAGGAAAGTTTATATGCCCAGAATTAAACTTTGTTGGTCTTAGAGGTGCCACTGGACTCAAACGCTGTTCTGTTGCTTCAGGCCAACACAGCTACCCACCTGAAATCTATCTGAAGAAGTGTAAAGGTAAAGGTTCCCTTGCTCGAAAGCCAGTCGAGTCCGACTCTAGGGTTGCGGTGCTCATCTCCGTTTCAAAGCCGAAGAGCCAGCGCTGTCCGAAGATGTTTCCATGGTCATGTGGCTGGCATGACTAAACACCAAGGCGCACGGAATGCTGCTTCCCACCGAAGTGGTGCCTATTTATCTACTTGCAATTTCTTGCTTTCGAACTGCTAGGTTGGCAGGAGCTGGAACTAGAGACGGGAGCTCACTCCATCATGCGGCACACTCAGGTCTCGAACTGCTGAACTACCGACCTTCCACAGCCTGCAGTTCAGCGTCTTAACCATTTGAGCCACTGCAGCTCTGAAGAAGTGTGCATGCTCATAATAGCTTACAACCAGAATCAAACTGTATATGTTGTCAAAGGCTTAAACTGTGAATTAAACTGTGTTGGTCTTAGAGGTGCCACGGGACTCAGACTTTGTTCTGTTGTGTCAGACCAACACGGCGACCCAGTTGAATTAGCCCTTGGCCATAGGATGGAAAAATGACTCACTACTGACCTTTCCCCTCCTCCCTTTCAGAAAATTAATATATAAGCCCCTCCTCCTCTTTTAGGATTGGGTTAAAGCAGGGCTCTTTTTGTAGAAAAAGCCCAGCAGGAACTCATTAGCATAATAGGCCACACCCCTGACAGCACAGCTTGTTAGCACATTAGGCCGCACCCCCATGTTACCAGAAGTGTGGTCATCCAGCCACACCCACCTTTTGCTTCTTATTCTGTTTACCTTGTTTGTGGTCAAAACCCTGGGCTTTTTTTGGAGCAGGAACTCCTTTGCATGTTAGGCCACACACCCCTAATGTAGCCAATCCGAATGAGTTCCTGCTGTTGGGTGTGGCCTATTATGCTAATGGGTTCCTGCTGGGCGTGGCCAACTCGGGAGCCAGCCGGAACTCCGTTCCTGTGCGTTCCTGCCCAAAAATAGCCCTGGGTTAAAGTGCAAGCCTGGGGTGGAGTTGGGGGGGGGCTATGGTACCCGGGCTTGGACCTTGTCTGAAGCTGCCCTTCCTCTGAATCCCCAGATCGCCCAACACACCCCCCCCCCCCCCCCCCCCCCGTGTCTTACCTATTCCTATCACCACTACATCTGCTGCGATCTTGTGCCTGTTGGATAAAAGGACACGGGCGACCTGGAGGGAGGAAACAAGACAGCTGAAACGATTGGGCGGGGGCTGCCAGCCCTTCCATGGCCCCATAAGCGTCGCCAACCTCTAGGTAGAGGCCTGGAGACATCCCAGAATCACAACTGATCTCTAGACGACAGAGATCTGTTCCCCTGCAGAAAACGGCTGCTTTGGAGGGTTGGACCCTACGGCCTTATACCTCGCTCCACAAACCCCACCCTCCCGAGGCTCCACCCCCAGATCTCCAAGAATTTCCCAACCCAGAACTGGCGACCCACACATGCTTTGGAGGCATCCCTTAGGGTTGCCAACCTCCAGGTGGTGGCTGGAGAGCTCCTATTACAACTGATCTCCGGGCGATAGAGATTAGATCACCTGGAGAAAAGGGCTGCTTTAGAAGGTGGACTCAGTGGCATTATACTCCACTGAAGTCTCTCCCCTCTCCAAGAAGAAAAAGGAGAAGACTGGATTTATGCCCCTCTCTTCATTCGGAGTCTCAGAGTGGCTTACAAACTCCTTTCCCCTTCCCCTCCCCACAACAGACACCCTGTGAGGGAGGCGGGGCTGAGAGAGCTCTTTCGAGGACTGCCCTTTCAAGGACAGCTCTGACAGAACGGTGGCTTGCCCGAGGTCATCCAGCAGCTGCATGTGGAGGAGTGGGGAACCAAACCCGATTCTCCCAGATTAGAGTCTGCGCACTTAGCCGCTACACCAAACCCCACCCTCCTCAGGCTCCACTCCCCAAACCTCCAGTTATTTCCCAACCCAGAGGCGCCATCCCTCCAGTGTAGGCTTGCCTAGCTAGGCTAGCTCTGCTCCTTTGTAACCCACAGGTCACATTTCCTAGCTCCAAGGCATGCTTCCTTTGTCCTAGCCATTGCCAAGATGAGAGACATTCCGGACAGGCTGCAGTGATGCTCAGCCAGAGAGACTCACAGACCTTCCCATCACGGTCCCCTAGCAGCTCAGCGACCTCTGTCTTCATTGAGAACAGGACTCCTTGTTGGTGAAGCATCTGGATGGAGGAGGAGAAGAATGGACTTATACCCCACCCTTCACTTGGAATCTCAGAGCAGCTGACAATCTCCTTCCCTTCCTCTCCCCACAACAGACACCCTCTGAGGAAGGCGGAGCCGAGAGAGCTCTGACAGAAACTGCTCTTGAGAGAACAGCACTGAGAGAACTTGTAACTGACCCAAGGTCACCCAGCTGGCTGCATGTGGAAGAGTGGGGAATCAACCCCAGTTCTCCCAGATTAGAGTCCGCGCTCCTAATGGCTACACCAAACTGCAGAGTGGACGTTACTGGTGTTCTCTACACTGAATTCTGAGATAGGGCTACCTTAGCTTAAAATATGTGGGAGGTGTACAAGCACATGTCGTCTAGGGCCACCTCTTCTCCTGATGCAGCCATGTTTGGGGGCTCTGGAAGGCCTTGGGGAAGTCGGTGCTTCCTGGCAGATGGTGAGGGTGCAGGCAGGGTCCTAAGGGGGTTCTGGAGCCCCCCGGGAGTGGCCAGAGTAATGTCCATAGGAGGAACAGGGTCTTCCTCTAGCACAGTGGTGGCGAACCTATGGCATGAGTGCCAGAGGTGGCACTCAGCGCCCTCTCTGCGGGCACGCGTGCCATCGCCCCAGCCAGGCCCAGACCATCATTAAAGTGTCGAATTCTCTGCCAAATAATTTTAAGTAAATGAAAGCATTTGGGATTGCTTTCCTTACTTTGTTTCGATCATCTTAAGTTAATGTATGAGTTGTTTTTTCTAAAGTACAACCTCAGTATTCAGGTTAAATTGCCGTGTTGGCACTTTGCGATAAATAAGTGGGTTTTGGGTCGCAGTTTGGGCACTCAGTCTCTAAAAGGTTCGCCATCACTTCTCTAGCATATAGGCCCCCCCCCCCCCCATGGCAGGACTGCAGCATGGCACCAAGTGAGAAGCAAATACATTGCCAAAAGGAAAGGCTTGTGGGTAATTCACAGAAGCCCCATCATGTGCAGTATTTGATTAAGTTAACTTGGAAGTCTGTATACTCACTGACATTTACATGAAAAATTGTTAAAATGTTGTTTGAGAACCTGTATTTATTTGTTATGTTCTAAGTTAAAATCCAATAAAATATTATGGTTATTAAAAAAAAAAAAATGTGCAGCGGGAAAACACAAACTCCGGTCCTCAAAACTCCACATCTGAACAAACATTTGCACCTATTTGAAATTTTTGGATCGCATTTCAAACATTAGCCTCTCGTGTAGAATCCACCACCAGATGGGCACCTTACGCTGTGAGCGTCACTTAACAAATCTGGATTTTGGCTGAGGACAAGTGGGAAATTCCAGCTGTTAAATGTTAAATGTCAAGTCACAGTCAGCTTATAGCGACCCCATAGGGTTTTCAAGGCAAGAGTCAGTCAGAGGTGGCTTGCCATTGCCTGCCTCTGCATAGTGATCCTGGGCTTTCTTGGTGGTCTCCCATCCAAATACTAACCAGGGCCAACCCTACTTAGCTTCCAAGAACTGGCAAGACGGGGCCAGCCTGGGCCATGCAAGTCTAGGCTGTGATTGTTATATATATCAAGGATTTTTGGATATTCAAGGTATCCCCTTGTAGAGCTGGGGTTCCTGAAAAATTAGCTCATGTATTACTTTACTGTGATTTTTATTTGGAGCCGAGGAAAGTAATTATTAGACCTCTCTTGCGTAATGTTCAGGGCCTCCCAGACGGGCAGCTAGTTGTGTACCTTTTTTTTGGATAGAAATCCCTTTGTACCCTTGCAGGTAGCTATGCATTTGCTGGCTGCAATAAGGATCTGTGAACAGTGAATGTATGCTTTTATCTTTTAATTTTACCTTCATCTTCATGTCACTCTGTTTTCATGTAATTTTACTTTGCTGAATGGACAATCTTTCTTAAAAACGTCTCTTTGGTTCTGGTGACACAGATGCCTAATGAAGGTGATGGGTGGATGGATGAATGAATGAATGGTGTTCAAGGGTTCAGCTCAGGGAACTGCTAGGGATTGTGTCCTGTGCCAGGGGTCATTTCGTAGAAAAAGAGGTGCAGGAGCTTATTAGCATAACTCATTAGCACAACTTATTTGCATATGCCACACCCCCTGACATCACCGGATGTGTGTCCGAAGGCAACACCCACCGCTCAGGCGCCACTGGACTGTTTTGGATTGCTAGCTATTGGGGGGGGGGGAACGCGCAGATCTGTCCTCGCAGAGGAGGGAGAGCTCGTACCTGAATAAGACTTGGTCTTAAAGGTGCCACTGAACTCTTTTGGATTGCTATCTATGGGGGGGGGGAACGTGCAGATTTGCCCTCACAGAG